TATATATATATTTTTTTTCAGTGGGAAAACCCAAAACCCAGGTTATCACTGCCTGTCGGGATGCCATCAAGAACAACAACATCAATGCTCTTTTCAAGAACATGAGAGCTGGGACTGCCTCGTCATGAGGAAGAGCTGGTCCTAAATGACCTTCAAGCACAAAAGTCTGGAATATCAGACCACAGAGACCCCAAAACTGGCTTGGAAAGTGCCCAGTAGCCTGGTGGAAAATGAAAAGCTTGCATGAGGGGATATATTTGGAATCCAGCCCTCACTGGCAGCAGTTTTGTGTTAGATGAATAACTGGGTTGGGCTGTCAGAACTGTAAAGTCTTCGACAAATCGATAGCCAAAGAGACGTGTGTGTGTGTGTCCACTGCTATTATATCTGTATACAAGCAAGATCTTAATTTAAATTATTATATAAATGTATCGGTTGTGTGCCTCGGTGCAGCTGTGTGTAAACTGTGTGTAACATTGAAGCTGGTTTGTTTTCCATAATGGAGAAGAGAAAGGCTCGGTTATAGGACACGAGTCTAAAGAATTCATAATTCTGTCGTCGCTCCCGGCTCTCGAGTCTCAGTTGCTGCGCTGGCATCTGGCGCGCGACGCATCCAACAATCTCCGAGCTGTCACGTGATCAACAAAAGAGCTGTTCTTTGAAAATGTGTATTTTGGAAAGAAGTGCTGCGCTTGTAACTGCTGTGCAGTCCTTCGAACATGGCTGGTATGAAGAGAATTTATGTATTTAGTAACGTATCGCCTTTCGGAGAGCTGGAAAAGGTTTTCTGAAACACGCAGCTTTAATGGTGGAAGCAGATGTTTGGATCTGGTTGCAGTGCTATCTTGTCATTGCTCTCCCGGTACGCCTTCATCTGGGTAAGTCTTGTAAATGAAAGTTTGAGACACTGTAAACCACTTCTAAACAAGACTAAACGCGAAAATGAAATTCAAAACGAATGCACTTGAAAAAGAAAAACGCGTACTTTAATGCCTAACGTAAAGGGTGTAAGGACCTAAAGATTTTTAAGTTTGCATTTTCAACTCCTATCCAAAGTGTAATTGTATATGTTTTGAGTGAATTTCAAATGTTTGAATTACACAAGTTTGCCTAAAAATATGTGTATGTGGAGCCTCGTTTGATTTTGAATGAATCTTTTAAGCGAACGAATTGTTCGTGTTCAAGACCATAAACAAATTCATACAGTCGCTGTTGCTCAGAGTTGCAAATAATGACTAGTGTCACTCGAACTGAACCAGATTTTGTTCATTCAAAGCATGATAAAAGTCAGTGAAATGGTTGCTACATTGTAAATTGCGTGGGAATAATGCTTTCTTTCGGGGGTGTTTTAGTAGATTTATAGACACAATTCGACTATGGCTTTTTAACGAATCAATTGACTGAATGATTCAATGACTCGTAAAAGAAAATCAAAGAAGAAACTCACCATCTACTTGCGTAACGATGTTAATTTACAGAATGGAACGAATCAAAATTTCCAAGAGCAGTCTTTATCATCAGACTGTAGGACAAGTGTCAGACAACCTTTCAAAAGAAATAATAGCATCTCACAATACTCAGTGTCCCTCTCAATCATTTAAGAGTGGATTTAAGGAAAGAAGCATTATTTACAAATCTAAAAATAAAGAGGTATTTTGTGGTGATAAGCATCTTTTTTTTTAAACTGACGGAGAACTTGGCAAAGAAACTGTATTTAGGCATTTTTTTGTGGATATTGCAAATGAAAGAAACACCAGTTGAAGCTCTTTCATTAGTATCAACATTTATTTTACTTTGAAGCTCCAGAAAATATTTTTAAGTTTGCAAGTTTATCACAGATGTCAGATATGGTAATACAGATATTATAAATTGTTTGCGTATCTTGTTTCATAATAGTATGCAGTCCTGGCTGTTCATGGAGCATAACTTTGGTCAAGTAATATCCTGTGTCTCCTGTTGTTTCATGACATCCAGGATGACTGTGGTAAGTCATACTCAGACACATCTTACACAATAGGAAATAGATTTTAAGGACTTATAAATATAACTGCAATTTTTGTTTAAAAAAGCTTAAATGGAGCATGAATTAAATTTTTTGGAGGTAAAATTTAAAGGGGTCATATGATGCTGCTAAAAAGAACATTATT